TGCATCTGTATGTGTGGTGTGTGACATGTGTGTGCAGGTATGTGGGCATGCATGCGAGTGCCTTCCATATGTGCCTGTGTGTGGGTACATGTATGTAGAGATGCAGACATCTGTGTGCATTGAACAATTTGATCCAAAAGACACAGACCTCTTTAAAGGATGTTTCACTATTTAAGAAGGATGTCCTTAAATACAAAGATTCAAAAAACACAGAGATGATCAAAGAACTTGATTTGTAGACAGTTGGTTATAAGTGAGCCAAAAAAAACCTTTTTATAGAAAGAAAACACTATATAAAGCTTAGAAATAGCCCTATTACTTGAGAAAAAAATACCTGTTATGATTGGGTTGTTTCATTCAAATTGCTGATATTCTAGCATTTTTGATCTGCTACAAATAGCAGTGTCATATGATTTAACCTAACACAAAAATGGGTAGATATGTTTTAGATGGGTTGAGAATCAGAACCAAGCATTAAGCATTGCTTCTAATAAAATGGGTTAATATTATGTACTTTAAAACAACATTTTTATTAAGGTAAATAAACTTTAATAGGTTTTCAATTTGCATTCACACTCAAATCTGTAGCATCAACACTTAGCTTCATCTTCTAAAGAGACAAAACTGTTGTCTTCCTGAACAGGAATCTTGACATCTCATGACTAATGAACACTTTAAAGTTAGAATGCAAGTAGTCTTCAGTAGATCTAAGATGAATGCTTTTTGCTAGATGAATTAGATTTTACTGATGTTTGTTCTGCCAAATTCTCCATTTTATGACAATAAATACATTTTTAATGCACATTCTTTGGCACAACAAATTGATATCACTTTAATGCAGCAACTCGGTGTTTCCTATGTCTATCCGTGAAGTCACTTTTGAAAAAAGGATTGATTTTTGACAAATTTGGTCTGGTAATATTGCACAGCTGAGGCTCACTCAGAACCAAATAGCACCCATTCATATAACCCTTAGGGACTGTAAAACAAGGCCAGCCCTCTGGGTCACAGAACTGTATGGTAGTAACAGGCATGAGAATAAAATCAGCTTTTTTACTTGAAATCTCTAGCTAGTGGCCAGACCTGAGAGGACATACATGGGACTGCCAGCCTTCACCAGGGTGGGGTTGCCAATTATGTTCAGACTTCCTTTGGCACTCCCAAAGAAAACCTGCATTTGTCATTTAGGTTCTAGGATACGGAGAAGAATAACATGACCCCAATCCAACCAAAAAACACCAGACAATTTCCAAGTGATGAACATCCTTAAAACACCTAACCAGTCTTTCTGAAACTTGTGAAGGCCATCAAAACCAAGCAACACCTGAAAAATTGTCACAGCCAAGAGGAACCTAAAAAGCCATGATGGGTAAATGCAATGTGGTATTCAGAACAGTAAAAGTTGAGAATACAAGTCCACACAAATCCTGCAACAGAATGTTTACAGCAGCTTTATTAATGGTTGGCAAAACTTGGAAGCAACTATATCTTTTAGTAGGTGAGTGAATAGATGAATGTTGGTATATTCAATTGATGGAATTTTAGTCAATGCTAAATAGAAATAAGCTATCAGGCTATGAAAGACATGGAGAAACCTTAAATGCATATTATTAAGTGAAAGAAGCTAATCCGAAAAGGTCACATGCTGTATGATTCCAACCATACGACATCCTGGAAAAGGCAAAATTGTGGAGACGGTAAAAAGATTAGTGGTTGCTAGAGATTGGCGGGACAGGGATAAATAGTTGGGATGTTGATCGAAGGGGATTTCTCAGGCACTGGAGCTACCACATACGATACTACCATGGTGGATGCGTGTCATTTTACATTTCTCAAAACCCATAGAATGTGCAGCAACAAAAGTGAACCTAATGGAAACTGGGGGCATCGGGTGGCAATAATGTGTCGCAACGTCGGTTTATCCGTTGTCACAAATGTCCCACTCTGGTTCCTGATGCCCACAGTGAGCGAGGCCGTGCCTGGCTGGGGGCAGGGAGAACGCAAGATCTCGTGATACTTTCTACTCCATTGTGCTGTGAACCTAAAACTGCTCTAAAAAATAAAGTCTGCCAATAACAATGATAAAATAGGACAGTAGGTAAACCCTAAGCAAGTCTGAATGGAGTCTGGACTTTAACAATGATGTATCAATATTTGTTCATTAGTTATGACAAATGTACTGTAGTAACCTAACAGGTTAATAGGGGAACCCAGGTGAGATGTGGAACAATAACTACCTTTGCAATTCTCTGTAAACCTAAAGGTACTGTGAAATTTAAAAAGGAAAATTAAAAACCGAGGGTAAAAAGGGAAAGGTAGAGAGAAAAAAATGTTTTACAATTTATCAATGAATGGGTACATTGCCTCATTTTGGATTAAAATAATAGAAATGGCCTTCATGTAATTCTTCTCTAATTGGACACTGTGCTTGGTCCCCTGAGCCCTGGCTCCGATCTGTCCCATCAGGGCCTGGGCAGCCCTTACCTGGGGCTCTTGTGAAATAAAACCCAGTGGGCCTTTGTGTGTCTGGTCTCCAGGGGTTGCAGATCCCCTGGTCCTGGGAGTGTGGGAGGCAGTCAGGCCTGTGTCTGCTGGAACCTGCTACGAACTGCCTTGGCAGGGCCTCCAAATCTTCTGCAGTGTCCCCAGGGCACTGGGAAAGCACGTCGCTTTCTAAGTATATCAAGACGTGGAAAGGGGTCAGGGGAAACAGCCCAAGCACAGTGCACAGCACGTGGCGAGCTCTCTGGATCACCCGAGCGTCTCCCATGGACACCTGTGAAGATGAGGGGTGGCCTGGGGAGAGTCAGGGCCAATGACACCAATGGCGAGGGGCTGGCATTCGAGCTGGCTCTTGAGGACGAGGCGGGGTTTGCCAGGCACAGGGGCTGGATGGGCAACAAGGGAAGGGAACAGCAGAGGCAAAGGCAGGAAGTGGACACAGGCACAGAGTGTTTGGCAATGGCGGGGAGAGCTTCCGCGTGGCCAGACTGCAGAGTGCGTGTGTCTCTGCGCGTGTCTGTGCGTGTGTGTGTCTGTGTGTGTCTGTGTGTATGCCTGTATATGTCTCTGTTTCTGTGTGTGTGCCTGTCTCTGTGGGTCTGTGTGTGTCTGTGTCTCTGTGTGTGTGTGTCTGTGTGTGTATCTCTGTGTGTGTGTGTGTCTGTGTGTGTATCTCTGTGTGTGGGTGTCTGTGTGTGTGTCTGTGTGTGTATCTCTGTGAATAGGTGTCTCTGTGTGTGTCTGTGTGTCTGTGTGTGTGTGTATCTCTGTGTGTGTCTGTGTGTCTGTGTGTGTGTATCTCTGTGTGTGTCTGTGTGTGGGTGTCTCTGTGTGTGTCTGTGTGTGTGTGTTTCTGTGTATGTGTGTCTGTGTGTGTGTGTCTGTGTCTGTTTCTGTGTCTATGTGTGTCTGTGTGTGTATCTCTGTGTGTGGGTGTCTGTGTGGGTGTCTGTGTGTGTATCTCTGTGTATAGGTGTCTCTGTGTGTGTCTGTGTGTCTGTGTGTGTGTGTATCTCTGTGTGTGTCTGTGTGTGTGTATCTCTGTGTGTGTCTGTCTCTGTGTGTGTGTGTGTGTCTCTGTGTGTGTGTGTGTGTGCGTGCGTGCCTGTGCGTGCGCCTGGCACCGAGTGTGCAGTGGCAGGATGAGCCACGCAGGAAACTGCCCCACAGCCTGGTCTCATGTTGTCCCCTGCCCAGAAGGGACAGATCGAGGCAGACGTTGGGACGGAGTCACTGGAGGGGGGCCGTGGGGAGCGGGGTGGGGGTGTCGTGTCCCTGCCGAGCACTTCTCAGAAAGATCCGGCGGGCCGTGCGCTTCCTGGTGCACACGCTGTGTGCTGACCACACGCCTCCTCCGGGAAGAATCCGCCTCCCGAGGAGCAGGCGGCTGTCTCGCTGGGCAGAACACCGTGATTTACTTCCCCTCTGGCGAACAAAGCAGCGTTGTCTCGCCTGTGTTCAAATTACCCCCAAACACCACCTTCACACCTGTCTGTGGCAGTCAGGGCTTCGGTGGCATGGCTGGAAGGACAGTGAGGACATGCCCCAGGTGAGGCAGTTTCAGAAACGGCCACTTCCCCTGGAATTCGTGCAGAGACTCTTCAAACCACCCAGTGAACCAGTCAACACCCATAGCCGTGAGCACGGAATTCTCAAACAGGTGGATTGTGCAGGAAATCCAAACACAGTTGCAGTTTTTTTGCCTGTATATTGTTGTGTCATGACACTGTTTTTAGAAAATTTGGATTAGGGCCAACCAATTTCATGCAAACATATCTGGATTTGGGGGTATTTTATTAAAAACCAGAAAGTCAGACAATACTGAGCCCCATGACCACATGTCCCCAGTCATTTGGAGCTGAGTGTTGACCTTCAGACACAAAAACTCCAGTTGACCCCAGTCCTCACCACTCCCTATTGCCCTATCCCCAAACCAAAGGTCAATTGCCATTATTATCACACTTGTGATAACTTGTGAAAGCTATTGTTTTCTTATAGCTCAGTTAAGAAAAGAGTAAAGAATTTCTTACTCTTGAAAATCCATGAAAAGTGAGGTGACAAAATACAGAGAGTTGCACATCCTCCTTGTAGAAGTGAGTTTTTTTCTAAATGCTCGGTATGTAAACAATAAGCGTCTGTTTTCAAAGAATACAACTTAAGGCCCCAGTATGAACTAAAACTGTTCTGTTCCACTTTACGCTAATAGCTCAGCCCAGTAAAACCGTAGTCGGCAGCCCGTTATTGGCAGCACACTGAGGAAGAGCAAATGGCAGGGGAGAGAGTTAATGATTTGGGGAACGTTGCACAGCTGAACACAGGCTGTAGCCAGGATTCACCCGGTTCTGCTGCGAGACTCTGCCTATAGCAGGCCGACCCAGGTGAGCTCCGTGCAATTTGACCTAAATGTGAATATTTTCAATAGAAACTTCTGCATCAGGAATTCCTTCCCTACCAGCCTCTCCGGGCCCGTGGAATCCTCTTCCCACACACTAACTAACTTCAGAGGGCTCCATGGGAACAGGGTCTCCGACGCTGAGATGGCTTCAGGAACTTCGCTTCACCAAATACTTATTGAAGCTGGGAGGTAGGAAGAGATCGGACCCTGGATGCCAAATTTTACATTTACTCATGAGACCACCCCCCCCTTTTCCTGGCTCTATGAACTTGGACAGGCCATCGAATAGCTCCAGAACCAACTTGTCCTTCTGTAAAATGGGACGAGTCCTCACACGCCCTGTCGCAGAGTGGAAACGGTGAGGGATCAGAGAGAGCTCTTAGTTAAAACCGGGGTCACTGTTTGCAGCTCTGATCGCTGTGGGTGCTGTCATTTTACTCCCCGCTGTGGATATCACTGCCAGGGTCCTCACCCATCAGGGAGGTCATTGCAAGGCTGAGCTGCCCTCCCGTCCTGGTGGCTGGGTGGAAATGGAAGGACATAAAGGAAGCAGGTCTAATGGCACTCATGCAACACCCCCCCCCCTTGTGGATTCCACCTGGCACGTGCCCTGCAGGAACTGGCTCCCACGGAGGGGCGTGGCGGGGAGGAGTGTGCAGGTATGTGCTGTAAAAAGCCAGTCGGCTCCGCTCCTGGAAATCAGCCTGCTCCTCCTGGCACTGCAGCGCGGAGACAGCACAGCCTGCACCTCACTCTCGCATCTGGGACTGCACTGGATCTGCGTGCTCAGAACAAGGTAAGAGCCTCGCTCTCGTAAGAGCCTCATTACCTGCCCCCATTTCTCACACCACCCAAGGACCTTGGGCTGGATCCCATAGTGGACGGGTGGAGACTGAGCCCCAGTGCTGTGGGAAGTATCCGGGTCTTCACCTGGTGTGTCCAGCCTACTGTCCCACCCTTCCTTGCTTTAGCCCCAAGTCCTGTGATTGCCTTTCCCTGTCCCGATCCTAGCCGTGGCCAATGCCCGGGGTGGGAATGGCATCAGGACCATTTCCTGGGCTTGCCTTTTTTCATGCAGAATTCTGTTTTGGTTTAAATGGAGCATGAATGACATGAATCATCTTATCATCATGAACTATGTTAAACTAAACTAGCAGAGTTCATAATTGCTTTTCTTATTCCCTGCCAATATTTTCTGAAGGGCAGAGTAAAGGTGAGAAGTAAGAAGTGATCAAAAAGGGGTGACAGAAAAGTGCAGAGAGACACGGTCGAGTTGCCCACACCACCTTGTGACTTGCATCTTGAGCAATTTACTCAGCAGCCTGAGCCTTAGCAGTCACAGATGTTACCTGGGGTGACAAATTAATGGCCACCTGGCAGGGCTCTAGTGTGGATTTAACAAGGTAAGAATCAAATGCTGGATCAGTACTTAGTAGATGTGAAATAGAGATGGATTTCTCTTCTCCCTTCTAGCATAGCTTTTATTATCTACCTGATAAAATCCGTGTAGTTCAGTGTGACATTGAAGTTTAACCTATTGACCCAGTGATTTCTTTTATAAGAGCATTAATTAAGGGCTTTTTGTATGCCCAGTACTGTGCCATCATGGGTCTCCAGAAATCAATGAGACATGATCTTTGCCTTCAAGCTTATAGTATAAACTCTCTGGTTGAAATTCGCCTGTCTTCACTCTGGTTCCCTTTGCCTGGTCAAGTCAGAGGAGTCCCCAGCTTCATGCCTTTCTTTCTCCCACATTGCTGTCTCCACCCCGACAACTCCACCCACCTCATGGGCCAAACCCATGCGTGTTCAACCTCTGGGTAAACATCAGTTTTCATGACATGTCCATGACACCTACCATGTCCTTCCTCGTGCTGTGGTCACCTGTGTCTGTGTGGAATTGTGAGGTAGAAATTCAGCACAGTGGAGCTGGAAGAGAGTTGGTGATTCTTTCACCTAACACTTTGATTTCCATGTAAAGGAACTGAGACTCAGTGTCGGGGATAGTGACTTGTCCCAGATCAAGTTGAGGACAGAGATGGGACACACTTTCTGGTCAATGCTATTTAAATTCCCCCAAAGAGTACGCTCTTAGCTCTTTAAAACCTGTGGTTCTTATTCCCAATGGTATGTTCAACTCCTAGTTTAGTGCATGGTCTGTAGTAGATGCTCAATAAATGCTGTTGAATGAGTGAATGAAAGAGTGAGGAGTGAGCAAATGCAGGAGTGAGTGAGTGAGTGAGTGGGAGAGGAGTGAGAGTTGGGGAGGCTCAGGGAGTGACAAAGGACAGGATCAAGAGTGGTAATTTGGGGACAGTGAAGACACAAGTCAAGTGGAAATGTGAGTAGACAGCATGCTCGTCTAGTGATTTCAGGAGCCAGAAGGATTCTTGGTCTTTCCATAAAGTGGCAGGCGTGTGTCAGGGGTGGAGGGGCATCCTGCAGTCCTGCACAGCTGAGCTGCTGCCCGGCACTGACTCACCTGCCTTTTGTCAAACAGGTGCCCGCCCAGCTGCAGCCATGAGGATACACAGCCTCACCCTGCTCTCCTTCCTCCTTCTGGCTGCTCAGCTGTTCGTAGCAGAAGCAGAAAAAAAGGGAAAGAATGGCCACCACAGGAAAGTGGTTTCAGAGAAAAAGGACACTCTGGGCAATGCCCAGAATGAGCAGAGAAGCAGGACGTCCAAGCCCACGACCAAAGGCAAGTTTGTCACCAAAGACCAGGCCAACTGCAGATGGGCTGTGACTGAGCAGGAGGAGGGCATCACTCTCAAGGTTGAATGCACCCAAATGGACCGTGAGTTCTCCTGTGTCTTTGCTGGGAATCCAACCTCGTGCCTAAAGTTCCAGGAAAGGAGGGTCTATTGGAAACAAGTTGCCCGGAATCTGCGCTTACAGAAGGACATCTGTGGACAATCCAAGACTGTCCTGAAGACCAGGGTATGCAGAAAGAAGTTTCCAGAATCCAATCTCAAGCTGGTGAGCTCCACTCTGCTTGGGAACATGAAGCCCAGGAAGGAGAAAGCAGAGCCCTCCCCCAGGGAGCATATCAAGGTCAAAGAGGACACCACCACTAGACCAGTGGGGACCCAGACCATGGCCAAGAAAGCTCCTGAGTGTGTGGAGGACCCAGATGTGGCACAGCAGAGGAAGAATGCCCTGGAGTTCTGTGGGGAGTCCTGGAGCTCCTTCTGCATGTTCTTCCTCAGCATGATACAGGACATGTCGTGCTGATGAGGTCAAAAGAGAACAGGTTCCATTAAGAGATATCATGTCACAAGCCCCTCTGTATGCCATAAAGACCTCCACGCCCCCACCACCACCACCAAACACATGGACTTTTGTACTAACAGAGCGCAGTGGAATATTTAAACAGATTTTGTAATTTTTGTTTTTGTGTTTTGGAAATTGCTTTCTATTCCCTTCCTTGGATGTGACTTTCAGAGGCTGTTCACCTCATTGTGTGTTTCCCTGGCCCGCTCAGCTGTGCCGTGTGCGCAGATGTGCGTATGAGCAGTGAAGACGTATCTCTGGGTTGACCAAACCAGAGTGATGGTTCCAGTGCGGCGCACTTTCTGGCAAATTGACAAACATAATAAAGCTCTGGGTGTTTTTAAAACCATGCTCAACCGTTGTTTGCTTTCTCTACCTTTGGTTCCTAATGAACTCATGGCTCGTTATAAACAGGCCTCCATGTATCAGTGGATAAAATATCTAAGGAACAACTTCTAGCTCTCCACCCAGCCCAGGGCATCTTCTAATGCACCCGTCCCAGAATCCTTCTGTACCCTTTTCTCCACTGATCTGTGGTGTCTGGTGCTTACTGGAGTGTAGTCATTAGGGTCCCCGTGGTTGGGGACTCACAGATGGGAACCCAGCGGTCTGGCAGCAGAGTCCCCAGGGCCGAGGGGCCCCTCTGCTGGCAATGGCAGAGCTGTCCATGCAGAGCACGTTCCTGGGGTGGGGCAGAGGCCTGGCTAGCACAGCGCCCTGTGATGGAGGCGTGATGGAAGGTGGGGAGAACTGCGTGGAAATCCAGAGACAGGAGGCAGAAACTGCTGGATGATCAGGAGTCGAGTTTCATAGAGGAGGTGACACGAAAGCTGGATTTTGGTGAACGCATCTTTAGGATGAAATGGAACAGAGTGAAGGCACTTTAAGCATCTGACATCATGACTAAGGCAAAGAGATGGGAAAGGTCCAGGTTCCGGGAGAGGTCGGTGGCTGGCACGGGATGAGATGCAGGCATGAGACTGTGGTTAGTCATTTACACATTAGTATGAAGGATCTGAAAGTGCTTTAGCTCAAACATTGGGGAAAGAGGACAAACTGTCCCCAATGCCTTGTCACAACTCCACAAACACTAAAGAGTGAGGAGCAAAATTGGTAAAAACACTGTTCTTTAGCATGTCTGATGGTGGCAGGGAGGCATGACAGGGGGCTGGGGAGATAGCCTTTTGTAGTCACCAATCTACCAGGATGTACACTGAGGGCCATCCCACAGGGCCACAGCCTCAGAATGACATGGGTATGTCATCATCAACATCAGCAAAACTAGCATTCATCTCTCACTTCCTGTGTGCCAGGCTCTGTGCTAAGCTCTTCGCTTGGATTATGCATTCATTCATTCCCTCACTTATTCATTCCACCTACAATTTATGGAACCCTGACTTCCATGGGGCTGTGTTCTATGCTGGAGATACTGCAGCGAATGTACAAGAGGTGGGTGCTCTGCCCTCATGGAACTTGCCAGTGGGGAAATTGATGAAAAACTCACCATTCTACACGAGTTAGAGAGGAAAAGTAAAGCAAAGGAAGGGAGTAAGTGGCCGAGGGTGATGCGTTCTAGATGGTTTGATCAGGGAAAGCTTCTCCGCAGAGATGACTTTTGAGCCTCCACCTCAATAAAGGAATCATCTAGGTGACACTCGCAGGTAAGAATATTCCAAACAGAGGGAGCAATCGGAACAAGTGCCCTGAAATCACAGTTAGTTCATTTCTTCCCTCCTATAAGCCCTGACTCTGTGCCAGGCACCCCTCCAGAGCAGGAAATAGCAAGAAAGAAAAGAGAAAAAAAAATCTCTGTTTTTGTGACACTTCCAATGATGGGGATAATGCTTTGTCAGGTGGCAGAAATGTCAGCAGTGGTGATATTGTTGTAGGGTAGGGCCCAGGTCCTGACCCTCAAACCTCTCACCAACCACGACAGAACTGGACAGACAACCCACTCTTCCCCAATCCCCTTCTGTCTACGGGGGACGGACATTTTCCCTTAGGGTCTACCCAGGTCCCCAGCCCTGTGCCCACCTCCTCCACATATATAACTTAGTTCAATATAGTCCTGGGATAGAAAAAGACTGGCAATCTCCTCCAGGAGTCCCTGGTCTGGTATGGATCAGTGCGAGTACCGAGAAACTGACCCAAAGCCTCCTTATGATCTCCAAACCTAGAGGTTGCTGGTTCTTCTAGTTCCCTCGTGGTCTTTGGCCACTGGCAGAGCTGAGAGGAGTTTTGCCCTTTGTGGGGGAACTGGCTAGACCCGGGCCAGAGGTTTGCCTCTGTGGGGAGCCGTCCCATCTTGGAGGCAGTGATTTAACCTCCTGACCAGGAATTATGTTCACATGTTGATGTGAACTAAAATAAAATTTTAAGGCTCACCCCACGCCCCACCGGCTGACTGAATGGACCCCCTCGTAGCCAAAGGAATATCCTAAAACAAAATTGTCTGCCAGGAGGAGGGAGGTCAGATAGGCCTCATCATGCCCCCCTCCCTCCTTGGAGACATCCTTTGTAACCCATTAACAGGCCCAAAGATATGCAAGACAATCCTACAGGTCCTCCATTTACACAACAATCTATGTCCAGTGGCTTATCTCTGATAACAGCTCCTTATGTTAAAACATTTCAAGCCTTTAGACAAAGCTTCATATCTTTAACCAATTACAAGCCAAAGAATCTTTAAGCCCACCTATAACCTGTAAGCCCCCCACCCCCTGAGATGGCCCACCTTTTTGGTATGCCTCCAACGTACGCCTCCCACATATTGATTTATGACAGGTACCCCTGTCTCCCTGAAATGTATAAAACCAAACTGTAACCCAGCCACAGCGAGTCCACTAGCTCAAGGCCTCTTGGCAGTGGCTCCGGGTCATGGTCCTCAAATGTGGCTCAGAATAAATCTTTTTAAAATTCTTTTTACAGAGTTTGGCTTTTTTCCAGTGACATTGACATTGGGGTAGTGGAACCCACTCACCATTAAGCCTTGTTTGAAGACTGACATTGGTGGATATTTTTAAAGCACCTATTTATTGTCCCACTGGTTACACAGTAGTATGTACACAGCACACATTCGGCAAAACTGACTGCTTAAAATCCACAGCAAGAGGCTGGATTGCAGAGGCAGGTCAAAAATTGCCTCATGAAAACTCTTTAACTGTGGAAGTTTTTTTTTGTTGTTGTTATTGTTTTGTTTATTTTTACCATGCAATAAATGGCCAGGAACTGCCATTATTGATCACCACTACGCTCCACTTTGTCCCCATTCTCTCATGAATCCCCCACAACCCTGTCTGCTAGGAGGTTGCATTCTCATTCTCTACTTGAGGGAACTGAGGCTCTGAAAAGCTTAGGGTCTTGCCAGGGTTGGAAACCTGTCAGTGGAAGAGCCTGTAAAGCCAATTCCTGGTCCGGAGGTTCCCTAGCCCTTCCTGCCTCTGAAGCATGCGGTTTTCTTCCCTTGATGAGAGAAGAGTGACATTCATGGTCTCTGGACATGAGACCAACCTGAAAGTGAATAGGATCCACCAGTGCCTTCCATATGTACAGTCTCTTCCATGTTCCTGCAGAGAGAGAGTGTTAGAGAGGCCAACACTTCCACCTGCTCGAACTTCCCTCACAGTTGCAGCCTGAGGGGATGTTTTAAGAATATGAAAGAAGGCAGGAAGGCAGGAAGGCAGGAAGGCAGGAAGGCAGGAAGGCAGGAAGGCAGGAAGGCAGGAAGGCAGGAAGGAAGGAAGGAAGGAAGGAAGGAAGGAAGGAAGGAAGGAAGGAGAAAGAGAGAGAAAGAGAGAGAGAGGAGAGAAAGAAAGAGAGAGAGAGGAGGGAGAAAGAAAGAAAGAGAAGGAGAGAGAGAAAGAAAGAAAGAAAGAAAGAAAGAGAGAAAGAGAGAAAGAGAGAAAGAGAGAAAGAGAGAAAGAGAGAAAGAGAGAAAGAGAGAAAGAGAGAAAGAGAGAAAGAGAGAGAGAGAGAAGGAAGGAAGAGAAGAAGGAAGGAAGGAAGGAAGGGAAAGAAGAAGAGAGAAGAAAAGAAAGAAGAAGAAGAAAAAAGAAGAGAAAAGAAGAGAAAGAGAGAGGAGGGAGGGAGGAGGCAGAAAGCAAGCACAGACTTACATTGACTTCTATCCAACTTAGGGCAACATACTTTCTGAGAACTTTCTAGATATGAAGTAGAGGAGCCAGGAGCCATCTCACTCTCACTCCCCCCCCCCGCCGTGTGTGTGTGTGTGTGTGTGTGTGTGTGTGTGTGTGTGTGTGTGTGTGTGGTTTTTAAGATAGGACTCCCCTTAGTAAGGAGAGGTGGGAATTTTTAGCTAAATAAGAGGTGCTGAAGGTCAGCGTGTCTGCACCCCCTAAGGCTGCGCAGAAGGTGGGAACGCCTCTCTTCCCCTATAAAACCACATCTGGGCAGAGAGAGGGCCTCTTCCCTCCGGCACCCTGGCTCTGTGTGGTAACTCCCAGTCATGCCAGTGCTGACTTGAATCGCTGGAATCCGGAGTATCTCACCTGGCCTCCTTCCCCAGCTTCCCTCCTAAGTTGTTTTTGGCAGAACCAGCTAAGGAGACCAAAGTGTTTGGGGCTGAGAGCTCCCATGCAAGTGAGAGGCCAGCCATCCTCTCAGGTGCTGGTTTTCATAACTCCCCATGTGTGATGCTCACCTTGAAATGTCTTACTCAAAAATATTTTATGCAACAAGACACACAAAAAATATTTACCAGGCTCCTTCTCAATAAGGGGTCAGGATGGGGGAGGGGGAAGAAGAAGGAGGAGGAAGGGCAGGCTTGTGATCTGGAGAGTTTAAGGTGAATTATCCAGAGGCAGTTTCCATAAGGTAGTTGGAAATATGGGTTATAACACAGCGGGATCAAATCTACCTAAGTGCCATAGCCTGGCACTTAGTGCATGGCTTAGCATACAGTAAGGCGTCCATAAATATTGGTTGCATGAAGAAGAGAGGGGAGAAACCACAGCAAGGGCAAGGATCACGGGCTTCAGAGTAAAAGAAAACTGAGTTTGGGTTTCCAGTTGTGCAACCTGGGACAAGTTCTTTCATCTCATGATCCCCATCTATAAAGTGGGTCTAGGAATATGTACCCAATAAGTACTACACATAATGAAAGTCTATAGCTTGGTCCTTACACACACAGATTCTCATCAAGCATTTGTTATAAGTGAAGCAATGAGAAAACCAACTAGCTGAGAGAGGAGGTAAGAAGGCAGTTTTGGGGGGAAAGCTACACAGACTCAAGACAGGCCATACCAAGGGCCTGCCTGCCCCTTCTCACCTTCCAACGATCACCCTCTATCCAATGGCCTTAGGAATCTCACGCTCAAGCACTTTTCATGATGTAGGAGGAAGGTGGAGAAGAACATGGCTGTTATGGGTGGCCTTTGAGGTTTTTCTCACCTGCCTTCCAGTTCACTTCCCATGGGCTCCTCCTCCAGCTCCTGGGCTGCTTCCTCCTCCCTCTTCAGCTCTAGAGCTCTGGGCTCAGCCCAGCACCTGCTCCCAGCTCATCCCTTCCATGGTCTTTGCCCACCTGTCGAGGACTGCTGTATTTGTATCTCCA